AGCGCAGAGCCCGACATGGGGCTCGAACCCATGAACCGTGAGATTATGACTTGAGCCGAAGTCAGACGCTTAACTGACTGAGGCACCCAGGCCCCCCAAAAAGTCTGAGAAATATCTTTAAAGGAATTAAATTGATACTGTTGAAAATTTTTCATGTCTGTGCTGTTTTTTGTCTCAAAATTACAAAAAAAAATTAAAATTTTTGTATATAGAAATATGCAGTAAGAGGGGCGCCTGGGTGGCTCAGTCGGTTAAGCAGCCGACTTCGGCTCAGGTCATGATCTCACGGTCCGTGAGTTCGAGCCCCGCGTCAGGCTCTGTGCTGACAGCTCAGAGCCTGGAGCCTGTTTCAGATTCTGTGTCTCCCTCTCTCTGACCCTCCCCCGTTCATGCTCTGTCTCTCTCTGTCCCAAAAATAAATAAACGTTAAAAAAAAAAAAAAAAAGAAATATGCAGTAAGAAATAATCTAAAGGTTTTTCACATTATGTAAATTCCTTTTAAACATGTTTTGTACTCTTCAATCAATATTAAGAAGCCCTACCAAAATTAGAAATCTGATGTATTGTAGCCTAAATGTTCTGCAGGTTAATTCTTCAAAAATGTAACAACCTTAAGGTTAGTATGTATTTTTCTAAGGTAGAAGTTTATCTGGGGCTATTTTGTGCACTATTTTAAAGAAATGAACAGTCTTGTTTTCCATTTCTCAGAGATTTACCAGTTCTGGAAACAAACTTATTTGGCTTCATATAAACTCTTTAGAACTTAAAGGAGATGTTTAAAACATTTCACGGATATAAATCTACTGTCCTAGCTGGGAGTAATCTTGCCCCTCTGTACTGGTCACTGAATTCATTAAATTGTTCACTTATAAAATACTTAGACATCCACTCTGAGGCCACTGGGTATAGAATGATGGAAACAGCGATTAGGAGTGACTAAATATTTCAAACAACTCTTAGAGTTTAGTGAGGATGAAAAGATGTACAGTAAGTTCTGTAATATATATAGGAGAACACACAGAAACTGTGGAGGTTCAGAAGAGGGAGAAATTTCTTCTAGGGAAGAAAGGGCATGTGAGAAATGGAGAGGTGATCTTGTTGCAGGAGAAGTTTACCTGGGGCCCTTGACGAGCAGGTGAAGGAGGAGCCCTTTGGCTTTGTGCGGTAGCTGCCATTCACTGCTGAAAAGTCTGTCTTTCTTCTTTAGCTGATCTGAAAATCCTCTGATGGAATGTGGCATGCCTTCAATATGGCTTTCCCTGATCAAAATCCACTTGCGTTTGCTACTTGTACAAGACAGTGCCAAATAATTTATTTTTTCATAACTGCTGGCTTTTCTTTTTATCATTCCATTCGAAATTGCTTAGTTTGCAGGATTGATAATACGCAGGCTTTAACAATTCACTGCTGAATTTTGTTTCATCTACTTAACAAAATCATTTATCATTGATATGAATTGAGTTTGACATGAACAGTGAAAATTATGAGCTCTTGGAAATTCCTATTTTTCATGCATCATGTTTTTTGCACTAAGCCCTTAGAATTAGGTAGCGAACAAAACTGACATGCTCTGTGCCTTCATGGCACTTATATAGTGAAGAACAAATCACTACCTTGAGTTGATTGTTCAATAAATAATAAGTTAAATATTCTAGTGTTGGTTAAATGTTAAAGTTTACCTCAAAGTAACCTCTGAATTTATATTTTCTCTTCAACATCAGCATTCTTGTAAATAATCACCCTAATGTTCATCATTATTCTAGAATTTGGCTTTTCTGTGGGTGTGCCAATCAGAATGTGATTGATCAAGGTCCAGGGAAAGAATGACAAGTCTTAAATTCTGTGGTGTATATAAAAAAATCTCTTATTTATCAGGGAAAAGGGGGAATCTAGCCTTTACCGAGCTTCCAGTAAGTGACAGCACTGTGTTGGACATTGTATACAAAGTATTGGTAGAAACAATTGTTACCAGAAAAACAAGGAACAAATCAAAGAAATCCAAGGCGTTAATGGAGAAGAAAAGCCTTTGGCTGTTCCACTTCTCACTTCCCTTTTTTCTTCCTACAAGATTCTTCTTGATGAACTGTCTTCTACTAAACACTGGGCATCCATGCACGTTTCAGACCACAGTGGATTTCACTACCGCCAGTTTTTGTTAAAGTCTTTGATTAGCCAAACTGTGATAGATGGTTCTGTATTGGAGCAAAACCCTCTGAGAAGTGAGCCAGCTCTGGTTCTTGCAAAAGATGAAGCAGCAGCAGCTTCAACAGAGGAAGCAAGGATAAATCTTCCCCATCTTCTCGAAGAAGAAGTTGAATTCAGCACTGATCTTATTGATTCCTACCCAGGACATGAAACCCTTTGGTGCCACAGGTAAGAGAAGGGAAAAATCTGCTTTCTGCATGAAACCACATGTCTTCCTGAGAGCTGTAGAAGGTCCTACATCATAGGCCTGCCTTCTGGAGTAAATATGGTAATCTGATTGTGGAGCTTTGCCTGAGTTCAGAGGAGTTTTCGTTACCACATCCTCATGATCTTCAATAAGAAGTTCCTCATGCAGATCTCTGTCTAATGCTTAGATGGTGGCATTCAACCTTGACTGTGCAACAGCTGTGTTACTTCCAAACTGAAAACAAAAGTTTCTAGACTCCCTCCTTGGAGATCCTGATACTTGTAGCATGTGTGGGGTGGAAGGCTGCCATCTAGTCTTCAAAAACACAATGGAAAGAAACTTAGCAGGTACATTCTGATGCAGAGTCGGGTGTAGACCATTGATCAGACTGTTGATTGGACCTTGAGAATAGTTAAGCTTATTGAAGGTCTGCAAATTAACGTTCCTTAAGTAATAAACTCTTGACACTGGTTGGGGTTTTTTTGTTTTTGTTTTTTGGTTTTTTTTTTTAAAGTAAGGTGTACTTTGGGAGCAGGGCAGAATTATTAGGAAGGAGTGAAAGAGGATTAACAACCTCATAACCTGAGTTCTGAGTACATTTGACAGCCAAGTAACTTTCATGTTGGAAGGAAGTCCAGGTATGAGAACCCCCTGATTGGTTCTTTTTTGAAGCATCTCTGTCTTTATAAATGCGGATTCTGCTTCAGGCTATAGGATTCTATTTGTAGACGAAGGACTTGCTGTGCCAAGCAGGAGATAGGCGTTTTACATATTTGTATGTTTTTAAACTTGTTGAGATTTGCCGCCTTTTGAGGAGACATGTTCAGCTGCTCCTCCATGCTAAGTACATTTAGAAGATGGGAGACCATCTATCCTCTTTGGCACCTTCCTAAATTTCTTTTTCTCGTACTAAAGAGACACTCTTACTCCACATTTTCTAGAGACAAGATAGATACTAACCTCCATGTCATTGGGGTGTTACAGATTTTTTTGTTACTATTTTATATTTAGGTACATCAGTAGCAAGGTTGAGAAAATTTTAAAATTATATTTGTGTTGAAGAGATAGCTAGATTAACAGAGTAGAAGCTTTGTATAAAAATTATTTGAAGTTTGGGGTGGGGCATGGGGAAAAGAGACAGTTGGGATGGCCTGGATGTTATACAGGCCAGTTTTCTACTACTGAGCCATTGCCCTTAGGCACCTTATCTGTCCTTTGAGTTTTATCCTCTATAAAATGGGTAAATTATATGCTCCCTGTCTACTCCAGAATATGCTGGGGAAATGGACAGAATTAACTTTTCAGAGTTTAGAGTTGCTAATATGAATAATGAGATATCCTTGCTGCAGGGATATTTAATGAGACTATAGTTATAGTGACAGATTTCAGGGAAAGTTAAGTTGGTTTTTAGATAATAAGACCTGTTCTTACTAGAGGAAATACTGGATAGAGTCCATGGACTACGCCTCTAGCGGAGCTATTTAATCCCCTTGTTAATTCACTTCTGTTTTAGGATATCAGTGAAGTTAATTTTTGGTTCTGTTTTTTGTTGTTGTTGTTGTTGTTGTTGCTTTTTTTTTTTTTTATAGCAGAGATTGGGCTACGACCTATTTTCTAATTTCCGATTGTAGTTACAAAGAGTAACAATGCCAGGTGATTGCCATCATCTCAGTCGGTGATATTAAAAATCCTTTGGGGGTCGTATTATTTCTCACAGTCCAGTAATCTGGGCTTGTAAGACTCTGGTCTAAATATGCAGAGACTTCAGGGTAACTACTCCGCCTCCTTCCTCCAGGTAACTCAGGGTTACCACGGGAGCCACGAACTGAGTACAGTATGTTTTAAAATTACCAGCTTGTTTTTTTTCCTAAAAAGCTTGACTTTGTGATATGAGTTTTCTGTATTCTCTCCCCCTCCTCTTTCACAGGCGGCATATTTTCTACCTTCAGCATCACTTACGTGGTAGGTTTCCTCACAGTGTGACCCCATTGTCACCTGCAGACAGCCCTGGGGGAACTTCGAGTGACTTGCACCTCATCCCAGGAGGCCCCCACATGTCTCAGGCCATGGAGGTGGATGGGCTGAATGACTCTAGCAAGCAAGGCTATTCCCAGGAAACCAAACGCCTGAAGCGGACCCCAGCTCCAGACTCTCGGGGCCTGGAGATGGAGCATAGGTTCATCGATCAAGTATTGTCCACCTGCCGGAACGTAGAGCAGGCCAGGTTTGCCAGTGCCTACCGGAAGTGGCTGGTTACACTGAGTCAGTGAGAGAGGTGGATTAGTCCTGCAAGGGTCCCCCTTTCAGTGCAATATTGCTTTCCTTTCTTACATAGTCGCATGAATTGTTTGCTGGTATGTGTTCTTCATCTTTAGGTTAAAAGTCCATAGTAAATCTTTAATTTTATTTATTTTGTTAAGAACTGGCATTCCTTTGGGGATAAAATAACTGTGTATGTAGTTTCTTCCTGCTAAACAGTGAGTCTTAATTTTTTTCTTCTTCTCATCCTTTATATTTCTATATGTGAAGCTTCTTCTCATTTGGTTCTCCTAATCGGTTAACAGACCCATCTACCCACCTCAGTGCAGTTGCTTGCTGTATAGGCTAGTTTTTTTCAATTAAAATTTTAAGTTGTAGTTCAGCCTTAGAATAGTACAAGCTCAAAATTACTCCATCTGATTACTGCTTTGAGAATCAAATGGCCAGATAGATGGGATTTGCAAAAATATAAATCATGTCTCTTTCTCGATTCAAGTTATCGACCAGTGTAACCAAAGTCAGAAGTATTGGAATTTATATAAAAAACATGCTTCCAATGTGTAATCCATTTTAAAGTGGTTATTTTAAAAGAAAAACTAATTTTAAGAGTTTATGTAATTGCAGTACTGGGAATTATTTTTATTACTAGTTTTGATAGATTCTTTTTACCTCAAATTTGGTATGGGCCAAAAACACTCCCATTAGCCCTTATATAAACCCTTTTTTTTTTTTAACCTGGAATGCCATTTTCAATTATTACTACTTGTTTTCCTTTTAAATTCACCATGAAAAGTGAAATATGCATGGAAATGTATCCATAAACAATCTTCCTTTGTAAAAATTTAAGTTCTTGAGGATACACTTAAACCACACCATTTTTATGAAGTGGTTATTACAGATTTGCTGGCAAAAGCCAGGGGGAAAGAATAGATTTTGAAGGTTAGGTCTTCAATCTTTATTTTAAAAAATAAAACAACTTAAAGACTTTGATACTAAACTTATCAGGGATGAGGTACCAAAGTAGCCACCGAACAGCTGTATCTTATTTCTCAGTAATAAGGGCTGGGTTCTTCAGGTCTGTGGGAAAAGGGCCGGCTAATGTTTACTTTCTGAATACGTTTCCCCCCTTTGTAAATGGTCTGTGTTTGTTCTTTCCCTTCCACTTATCTCTTCTTCATTCTCCCAGTCCCTTCCATATTTTTTGACACTTTCACTTTCGTATGTTTTTCCTTACTTGTCTAATTTTAAGGATGTGTTCTGAAGACATTCTCCGTCCTCTTTCCACCGAATCTCCTACCCCATTAAACACACAGACACACACAATATTCACAGGAACTGCCCTTTCAAAGGTCCCCTAATGATGGAAACCGCCTGTTGTCCTGTGTGTGTGTGTAGGATGCCACACTGCAGAAGTAAGTGACCGCCGTGCTTTGCTTGTTTTTTTTACTTGCTAGGTCACCTTTAGGGTGAGGGGACAGATGTAAAGGCAGACTTCTCCTAGTATATATTATGGAAGCCTTGGGCTTGAGCGAGGCACACTGCCTTAAGCTTAGGAAAAGAGCAAGTTCTTTATTTGTGCATCAAGATTTTGTTGAGTAGCAAACTGTCAGGGGAGACTTGAGAATACCAGAAAAACTGTCCAGCCTGGCCCTTGTAGACAGAATATGCTTTTCTCTCTTGGGGCAAAATTTCATAGTATTTAGGTAAGAAAATAATTGCCATTATGAACATAATCCCATGGCCCTTTGTCTACAAATACCTCAAGGTCTACCTAGACCTCTGTGGATAAAACCATTAGTTGATGATTTTCTCTACCTGCAGGGGATAGTGGGGAGACTACACAGAGATGACAGGAGAGATTCAGCCCATTCCACTGGATACATGTTGCCAGATCCTGGCCTCACTCAGTATTCCCTTCCAAGCATCATTTTCAGTATCCCAAGTGATAGGGCTTCCTCTGCTTTGATGTGAGAGTGTCAGGACAGGAGTATAGACAGTCCCCTGTGAACCAGCGGCTCCGCGCCTTTTTTTTACCCTCCATACGGTGCCCTGCCCACCTTTGACGTTATCTGCCTTCATGTGTTTTAAGGCCCTTCATACACCCTCTTATGAAGCCATGCAGTCCTTTACGATATCTCGGTCTCTTCTTCCTAATAAAGTTTTGAGTAGGCAGTAAAAACACAAACATCTGAAGGATACTTAGCGTTTGTGACTTTTGTGTGCTACTTAATTTCTAACGTTCGCATTTTTCAAGTGCTGATTCACAGAAAAACCTAGCATTGCCCCATATGGTTGTGTTTTTTTCCTAAATGGTTGACATCTAAACTCATTAGCCGTAGCATGGTAGTATCTCTTTGAGTGAATAAGTTCATGCTGTGGAAAGGATGTATCTTTTCAGGGACTTGTTAGTCTTTACCTTTTTTTCTATAAATATCCTTGTTGAAAGAAAAAGATAGTTTAGATTGATTGACACATTTCATCAAACTTTCATTAGGAGAATAGTCGGCCATCATACTGTCCTGTGGATCAAGAATACTACTGACAAGCCAAAAGCAATAAGATCTGTAAATACCTCCACACCACCTTCCTCCCCGGCCCCACCTTTTTTTAAGTATACCTGTTTTGGTAATTTGGTGTTCCCAGATTCTACTGTGTGCCTTGCACATGGCGAGGACTTATCAAATGTTTATCAAATTAATAAATGATTCACTGAAAAAGGGAAAGACTGATCATGAGTAATGGATAGAATGAGTTATGATTGAGAAATTGATAAGTTAGAGCAATGGATTGTGAATGAATGATACATTCTAGCCTCATGATACTACAGGTGAGCTGTTACATATAGAATAAGTTAATTTAGATGATTCTTCTTCATTTAACGACCTTGTTTAAGCTGTTAAATCCCAGCCAAGAAATGCAGCTCTATGATTATGAATTAACTGTACTTTAATATATATTAAAAATTCATAGAACAAAGCTCGTTTGCATGAAGAACACCACTTTCTGTTCATTTATGGTATTGGAGGACAGATCTTGGCAACAGAGCCAGAGACTCTTTGGGGCATTTGAAGGAATTCTTTGATTTCAAAGACTTGTTGATTTGTATTTGTGCAAGGATAGTCATTTTATGCTTCTCCTTTTCTCCTCCCCAGCTTGAACTATAGACCTTTTAGGTATTTCTTAAACCTGTGTGAGTCATTTTCTTTTTCTCTTATTAGGTTTAAGGATTAGATACCTGTTAATGACCCCTTTTTCTTTTCCAGGTTTTAGCATTTTTGTTACGTCTTTGGAAACTCTGGGCCCAGACTCTCAGTCATATCCCTTATTCCTATGGTACGGTTCTGATTAAAGGCTTCATTATTAATAGGATTAAATGTACACATGTTGTCACTAAAAGCCATTTAAATCTTCAGATAAGGGCTTATGTGACACAAGATATGAAAACAAAAGTTCCTTGACTTTTACGTGGCAGTTTGTAGGAAAGCATTTATGGTGGTAGACTGTGTGATTTAGATGAATTCAGGTCGTCATGTGAATTTATGCTTGTTATATAAAGAGAACTTTTAATATTGTTGAGAACAAGTTACCATTAGTAATTTTCTGTAGCACAAGATAGTATTTGACATGGGCTAAATATTAATTTAGGAGTACAGCTGTCACTGACTATACAACAGTCTAATCCGTATCTTAGTCCCTCTTAATTACAGAAGATACTAAAGGTTTAGTTATAAAAGGAAATAACATATATTCTTTGCAGAAAGCTTTTGTAAGCTTACAGTTATTTTGTTACTAGTAAATCAAATTTTAGACCTTTCAGATATTTAAAATATGCTACGGAATTCGAACAGCGCCATTAAAAACTTTTGACTTCTGAGTGAACTTCTCCAGGAGAACGGTGCAGCCCCTGGCACTTTGCATGCTGCCGCCTCCCCATGCCTAGATGCACCCTTACTGTGCTCCTGTGTACTGGAGAAGTCTGGAGGCACAGCAAGGTGGAGACGTGCCCTGCCATGCAGGCAGCGAGCAGGAAAGAAAATCAGCCCTGAAAATCCTACTTGTCACACAGTGTCTTTGAAACAATAGCTATATATACCTTGTTAATTTGAGTGCCTTTCTTATTTCTGGAGGGAGCAAGATTAATGTTTAGGGAGAAAACAAAGGACAGAATTTTTATCAAACAGTTGATTGTAACTCATTTTATTTATTCCAGTTGCTAGACACGGTCCCGTGGAGTTTTTTTATCCATTCATGACATACTGATATGAGCAGGTAGGATGCTTTGGTTTGTATTTCTTAGTTAGCATTTTTAAGCGCCCTGCCAAGAAGAATTAGTTCTTTCCCTGTGACAACTAACTTTTTGGGGATTGGAGGTATTTAGAGGACAGCGTGTGCATAATTACAGGTTAGTCCGAAACGTGTGCGGCCCATGTTCAAGGGAAACAGTGGCACTGTGCCTGAAAAGAAAGGCTGTATGGTTGTCATAAATGAATCCTTTGCCTCACTTTAAGGGTTTTAAGAATTCCCTCCCAAATTCTGTGTTGGAGGAAAAGAAGTAAATAGATGAAATTTAAAATATGGCATTTTATGTATTTGGTTACAGGAGAGGGGAGGGATAGAGAGTCCATATTTCAAGATTGCAGATAACTTTTAATTGTAATTTCATAAAAATATACAGCTAAAGATTCCAAAGTGCTTTTCAGAGGACTATTGAATAATATATTCCTAAATGGCAGCAATATGTCATAGTTCATAGTGGAGACAGAAAACCATTGTGTCAGTTGTAGGTGTGTGTGTGTGTGTGTGTGTGTGTGTGTGTGTGCGTGCGCGCGCGCGCTTGCATTGCAGGAGGCACCTCTGGCTCTCAACCTGGACATCTGTATTCTCGTTAGGTTATGTTAAGACTGTAAAACCAAACTGTGCTAAAAAAAAAAATAGGAGTAGCTTAGTCTGCTGATGAACCTTTGTGCTTCCAAGAATATTAGCTCTTACAGGTTGTGCTTTTTGGACAATAATATGGTCCACAAGGCTGACCCTGGCATTCTTTTATTAATCTGTTATTCCTCAGGGTGTAGAAGATTTAGTAAATTTAGGACAAAATTTTA